ACGTTAAAGACATTTCAAAATTATTTAATGCTAGACTTGTTAAAAAACAAAAGATAAAAATTCTTCAATCAATAAGTTTTATGTATTTAGGGTATATTCATTATTCATGTGAAACAGATTTGATTTTAATAAAAAATAGTTATTTTAAGGAAGAAAAATTAAATCTTTTACATAATTTCATTAATTTAATGAATAGAATCCCATGGAATATTGATCAATAAATTTTATTCCCGTTTAATAGATCTAATGTAATTAATATAAAAAATTAAATGGTTTGATAAATTTTAATAAATATATACACTGAGTATTCAGAAAATTCTTTAAAACATACTCAAAAATGTATTATTAAGAACAGCTTTTTTAAGTTTGATTCATTTAGTTGTAAAATATTTATGTTTTAAATTTATTAGTAAAAATTTTTTTTGATAGAATTGAAGTTGTTCGTACACATATATTATTTTTAATCTAAAAACAAAATATAGTTGTTTTAAGAAAAAATGTTTTATTATTAAAAAAGATGAGAATTTGTGATTATATAAAATATTTTAATAAATTAAAAAATCCCATTGTTGTTCGCTTCAATATTATTTTTCTTCTTAAATAATCATTTGTCAATAACTTATTAATATATGTATTATTTCTTGTCTTTACCGTTCTATAGAATATTTCTTATTTTTTTACAAATTATAAATAGTGCATATTATAAATAATAGTATCTACAGTGGCACACAAAAAAATACAGCTAATAAAAAGTACTTGGAAAATATTACTTAAATTTTTTTACTTATAATCTATAAAGTAGTTACAAACTTAATAATTTTTTCAAACAACTCTGAAAATTTATGGTTAATAAACTAATAAAAAATTTTAAATGATGTTCAAAAAAATTGCAACTTTAAATAAAAAATTCCTTTTAAACTAAAAAGGGTACCGTTTCGATTGGCGCCCCATGATCGGATTGGCGCTTCAAATTTTATATATATAATTTTTTCAGTAAAAATTTAAAATATTAAAAATATTTTTTCAACAACACCTACCCCTAAAGGGGTGAAGGTTGTTGAAAAAATAAAAAAATAATAGTAAAGTTTTTAACTATTTCCTATTATTTTTAAAAAATTTTCAAAGGATTCTTCTTTGAAACGATAACGGAAACAGAAAAGGCTTAAATGGCTTTGTAAAATTGTAAGGATAGTTCCCCTCTTATTCTTTATTATCTTCAATTTTGCTTAACCCCAAATACACCCAATTATTGAGTATGGCAATGAGTATTGGGGTCAACAAAATTTTCTTAATGATTAACGACCTTTTGGTCGTTAAACACAGTACCTAGTCTGGAATAAGCTTTCCAGCCACCACTGTGGATAATACTATTCTTATCCACGTGTTCAAATAAGAGAAGAAGCAGAGAATCACGATCTCTCTTTTCCACAACAAACATTTTGACCTTCCTAGATCCTTCTTCAGCCATGCCAAAAACCCATGGTCCATTGACACGTTCACCATAATTATTTTACGGCGAGCATAATCAAAACTCTCCATAAAGTCATCAAGAAGCAATCTTCCATGGTTGTACTTTCGACGACCTCTAAACAGAAATTCGTCGATTTGTACAACTTTGCCTTCTCCTCCTAGTTTTCCACTCATGGTATAATCATGAGTTTCTAACCTTACAAAGTTTGTCGAATTGATAACGGCTTCACTTCCTTTAATTTGAGTTGCAGACATGATGTATTTTACCGTCCTACTCTCAAAATAAAGGAAGATAAGCTTTAACAATGATTGGACAGATGTAGCAAGTCGTGTTCTTTCTTCTTCACAACAAAAAAGGTATTTTCGAAGAGCGTATAATCTCTTCGACACGACTTGCATCGGAGAAAAAAGTGGACCTGCTCGACTCTCTTTCTTGACCTTACAGAGGGTCTGTTGCTGCCGCAAAACTTACAAAGCCTTTCCACCATGGGTTTTAGGCAGTCACTTTCCTCCATGAAGGTCAAAAAAGATTCTTCCTCCCCTAAAATCTGCAGCAATGTTTCATAAATCATAAGGGTTATATATTTTAAAAATTTTATTAGAATTTTTATATATATAAAATTTGAGGCGCTAATCCGATCATGGGGCACTAAAACTTTTTTGAGGCGCTAATCGAAACAATACCCTAAAAAGACTTAAATTCTTTTTTAATTTATTTAAATGAAATGATATCTATCAAATGATGATAAAATAGAAATTTATACATAATAGTAAGAAGGTTATTTACAATTTCAGTTATTAGAAAATTAAATATTCTTAAATTATTAATATCAAGATTAATTTCTAAATTTGATAAAAATAACAGTTTTTTTACAAAATAGAGGTTGAAGGTCAAAATTACTTTATAAAAAGAATATGAATGTTTTAATGATAATATTCATATTAAAATTAAATATACTAAATTGAATAATAAAATTAAAGGTAAATAGTATACTAAAATCTCCTCTTACTATTCATAATGAATTAAGTAAAATAATCCTATGTTTTTTTTTCTTATAAATACCATTGTTTTAGATAAAAATTTATATAAAAGATCGAATTTTACATAAATAAATTTATAGAATAAAAAGATTATTGGTGGTAAAATTTTCTAATTTGAAAAAACTAAAATAAATATGTTAAAGTCTGATGATAGAATTTATGAAAGAAAAGAAATAAATATTTAAACATATACTTTACCCTGTGATAAAACATGATAAAGATAATATCTTAGAGTTTAAAATTTATAATACATGAAGGTTTTGTTATTTTCTTATCAAAACAGACCTTAGAACAAATAAATATGATGTTTGGTTATGAAAGAATTAAATTTTTTATTTTTTGTAAAATTTTTATAATTTTTAACACTTAAAAAATGTTGTTTTTTCTAATCTTTCTAATAAAAAAAATTTAACAGGTATTCAAATAAATAAAAATATTTAAAGTAAAAAATTACAATATAAGAGAATAGGAAAATTTTAAAAGAATATAATTAAGGTGAATTATTATAAAGTAACTAGTAGAAAAATATTCTAGTTCTATCAAAACAATGAGAACCGTAAAAAGAAATTCAGATATATTACTCTTATTAAATTAAAAGACTTAATTCTAAAATCCACTTGTCTAAGAAAGTATTTAATTACCAAATATTCATAAATATACATATTAATTATAAAAAATAAAAGAAATAAGAAAAAAAAGTTGTACAATTAACGAATTTGTAGTTTTAAAAATTGTTGTTATATATTTAATTAAAGAAAATAGAAAATTTTATATTGTAAGATGTTTTATAGATAAATTTATTAAAAGAAATCACACCGTATATGCTAATTTCTACGGAAAACATATCAACATCAAATATTGATAAAAATAAAATTTTGAGAAAGAATTATAAAGATAACGATGTTTTTAATATGGATAAAACAGATTTGTTTATAAAGGGTTTGACAATAAATCATATATGTTTAAACAGGATGACAAAAAGAATTCTAAGTAAAACAAAACTAGAATATCAATAGGACTCTGTTGTAACTTAAACGATATGTTTTTAAATACATAAGTTGTAATGGAATTAAAAATACCTGGACGTTTTAAATTTTTTAAACCACTTGAATTCAAAATGTTTTGAAGAGCAAAAGATTTATCATAAGTCATGAGTGATGTTTTTAAAGAATACAATGTTTATTTAAATGAGATTATGATAGTAGAAAAAGATTAATTTTATTACTTATAGAGAATTTTTTAGAACACAACATTCTTTTGTATCAAATATTAAGATCATTTTTTAATGGCTAACAATACATCTTTTCTTCAATTTTTGAACCAAAAAATTATTTATATTTTATAAAAAAATTATAATTTTTATTTAAATGATTGTCGTGCTTCACACGGGTAGTGGCTTAAAAAAGCTTAATATGTTTGGAATAAATTTACTTCTTATTTTCATATCTCCTTTAGGATATTTTGTTTATATGCCCAAAAAGAAAAACTTAAAACATTTCTTTTAAGAACCAATAAAATGATTGGTGTCAATCATAAATACCCTCGGTTACAACAATGATATCTTTATATAACTTATGAATGTTTAAATTAATCATCAATAAGATTTGTTTTAAAATTACTCTAGTAGAAGTTTTACACTGGATCAAACGTAGTATTGATTCATTAAGCTTAATATAAAAAAATTATTTAAAAAATTTTAGAGTATAATGTGATAATAAAACAAATTAAAATAGTGATATAATTCAAATCAACGACTCTTTTTACGAAAAGAATATATTTAAACAGTATTGAATCAGTTTAGAATTTAATCATTTAACTACAGTAATAAATATATTATTTTTTTATCTAAACAAACTTAAATCTCCAATACAAGCTTTTCCAACAGATATAAAAATTTTATTTTATAATAATAAGATGGATTTAGCTTCTTTTTTTATGAAAAATATAAAAAAATAAATTTTCTAATAATTTTTTATAGAAAATATTTGTAAAGCTTTTTTTCGAAAAGTGTCCTGTAATAACATTTGTAAGAATAAATCTAAAAACTTAAAACCTTTAACTATTCTTCGATAAAATTAATAAAGAAAAAAATTAAAACAAAAAAGATTGCTAAAGTAATTAACAGTTGATTTTATACAGATTTTTCTGCTAGAACTGTATGAAAATATCTTAAAACAGCTGATTTAAGTGTATATAGATTTTTAAAAATCACTTCTTAAGAGTAAAATATTGTTTCTAGATTCAAATATTTTAAAAATATTTATGAGTTTATGAAGTCTTTAAAAAAATATTTTATTTAGATGAAACAAAAACAAATCTTTTTGGGTAATGGAATAGTTTATGTACGCAGACCAAAAGGTTTCGAAAATTTTATAAAATCAATTATAAAAAATGGTAAAAAAAATATTATAGTATAGGATGTTTTTCCTATGAAAAATAGAGGGTGTTGATATTATACAATTGAACATAACAGTATTATATTATGCTAATATTTTGAATAAAGATTTATTTAAGTCATGTAATAAATTATGTGTTAATAATAATTATATTTTTTGAAAACATGACAATTCCAAACATAAAGCTGCTTTTACTCACGAATTCTTTGATAAAAATAATGTTATGGTATAAAATTAACCATCTTAAAGAACAGATATAATTTTCATAGAAAAATCATGGTATTACTTTAAGATATAGGTATAAAAACGTAAACTAAAAAGTTTAAAGGAATAAAGAGAATTTGCTTGTAATGAGTTGTTTAAAATAACTAAAGAAGATGTATTAAATTTTAGTAAACACTGTACTTAAAGGAAATGAGTAATTATATAAATTTTAAGAAAATATGTTATATTAAATTTAAATACTTAAATTTTTTAATTTTTTTAACTATTAATTTTATTCGTTTTTTAATTAAAAAAATGTATAATAGCTATAGTTTAATATTATTGTTATTGAAAATATGAATTTTTATAGTTTTTATATTATTTTTTAGTAGCTCAATTATATTTTCCAACACTGTATGTTATTTATAAAAATTAAAAAAACTATTGAATTTTTATTTTGTCGTATGTTTTAAATAAATTCATTGTATTTATTGCTATTTTTACTATTCATCATAATTTTTATAAGTTAAATTTTTAAAAATTTTAACGTAACATTAAAATAAAAAAATTTTTTTATCTTAACAAATCATATGATTCTATAATCACAATGGTATTTTCAAAAACTTCTATTATTAACTTTTTTGCTTATCTATGTTTGTTTTTGTAGAATATTATGATTTCCTTTTTTCATAAGATAATTTATTTTTATAGCCTTCTTTAATAAACATTTTATCCATGTACATTAAACTTGACATAATCACATGCCATTTTGATTTATTCAACAAGTAAATATAATTTTTTTCTTAATATAATATATAACAACAGCTTAATATTTATTATTATTTTTTTCTTAAAATTTTATAAAATAAAAAGGTAGTATTAATTATTTAAAAGTTTATACAATTATTATTAATTCTGATATAAAAAATAATTTCAAATAGAATAATAATAAAATAAAAGATTGATTTAAATTCAGTTATTAAGATGTTATATAAATTTTTATAAATAAAATAAATAATATCATAACTGCTAATATATGTAGAAAAACTCAAAGAATTTAATTACGAACTTATTAAAAGATAAATAAAAACGAACCTTTGATCAATTTACTATAACAAAAGTGTTTTTATAATAATGGATTTATTAATAATTATTTAAAACATTAAAAATACATTTAGAACTTATATAAGTTTAAAGAGAAAAAAAAAAGATTAAAAATCTTTTTTATTGTTTAATTAATTTTTTTTGATAAATCAAATTATATTAACTTAGTATGTAAAACACAAAAAATATTGAAAACATACATTGATTCTGTTAACCACTTTAAAAATATTAGAAGGGTTAAGAAAATGATTTAAATTATTTTAAATATAAATTCTTTATTACATTTTTAGAAAGAAAACAATTATATTGGTTAAACTAATCTTACGATTAACAAAATGAATCAAATACGGGATGATTTAAATGAAAAAAAGCACTGTAAAAAAATTGATTTTTTATTAAATTTATTTTTATCAAAAAGAGTAGAATATTTAATTCATAAATTTAAAATATGTTTTTAGAATATAATTACATGAATAAATTAACTATAAAATTTAAAACAATTTGTAAATAAAATTTGATTTATTGCAACTAATTGAAAAACTTTAGTAATTAAATGTAGAATGAAAAAAATTTTTAGTAAATATTTTATAAGATTAGCAATTAAGTAAAAATTTTGAAAAAATAATATAAAAGTTATCAAAAGAATTTATTTTATAAAAATTTTATTTTCATTTATTATAGTGATTAATATATATTAAAATCTATCTGTAAAAACTATTATAATTTTATAATAA